ATAATAGTTCAGTGACAGCCTGTGCAAGCGTGTGTGTCGGTAGGTAGTTTTTAACCAGCAGTTTTTATTAATCATTATTACAATGCGAATATATTATTATACATTTTCTTTTTGGTAAGAGGAAATATTTGAGTTAGATTATGTATTTAGCATTTTTTTTTTTGGAGCTCTGCAGCACTTATCCACCAGCCACCATTGTAAACATTATAAACTAAGGAAATGTATGAAATTATGCCTACAGTACGGGGTTGATTAAACGGCGCCAGACTAATGATGTTCGATTTTTATGATATGATTATAATATAAAAGTACCTAGGCCTAGGTACACGACTCGATACACGAACTTTGTATTTTTGTTCCGAATCAATATTTAAAAACCCACATTTTATTATTAACTTCCTTGTTCCATTTTTTATTCTACTTGTTACTTGTTATTAATTTTTTCCCCTGAGACCTTAAACGGTATAGAAAACAATACGCTTGGGGCTAGTTGCACAAAGCTTACTTAAAGATAAGCTCAGCTTTAGGTTATACATGTCAATTTCCGATTTTGTAGGTGCAGTCTAATGTTTGGGGAAACAAGTTATAAGTGCTAAATGGTGTTTACGACTGTATCCATGCCATACAAAATTTGTCATGTGTCACCTTAAACCGAGTTTAACTTTAAGTTAGGCTTTATACAACCCGCCCTTAAGATATGTTTAACTTTAAGTAATAATTAAGAAAGATGAACCCGAGAATAACATATTCACGGGTTGAACACTTTGAAATACCTATTTAAAAATGTTATTCTTATCGGTCCGGTTGGTTCATGGTTCCTCAATTTGTTGTTTTATCCGCAGAGTAATTAGAAAAGTAACTATAAAAGTAATTGATAATTCCTTTTTTCATGTAATTGTAATTAAATCAATATAATTCCTATTTTTTGAAAAAGTACTTTGTAATTGTAATTATTTTTAAAGTACATATAATTACCCAGCTCTGTTAAGAAGTAAGGAGCCCAAATAGTTTACATGAGCAGGCGTAAGAGGTAAAGGGGCCAATTATTATTAGATAAATTGTTCGAACAAGTTGTAAACTGTTAGGTGAAATTAATTTTAAATTAATTTCAAACAACAACTTCTCCATAACCCCTCGTAATGGCAAAAGACAAACGACGATCGTTCGTTCCTTGGATGGCAAAGTACTGCTAGCGCACGTGTGCGACGTTTCTTCTACGTTCAAGCTGAGAAAATATATAACTGACTGGCGAGACTTCAACCGGCACCTTTTCCTCGATCGAGTTCAAAACTCAACGTGCTAGTGTGGTGTCGACAAATCTACTAATTTTTAGTTGTTATAGTTATTATTAGTTTCCATAATTATCTTGTGTCTTTCGCATCGTGCTACCGTTGGGATAATTGTCAGGTAATGTTTTTTTCAACTGATATTTTAACGCTTTGCTGGATTTAGGCGAAAGCCGAAAGGTTGGCCATTTGCTTTTTTATTTACCACCATGCTGTCGAATGCCAGTTGCAGTCCTAATTATTGTTTTATTTTATTTTATATAGATTATAGCTACCCTATCTAATAATATTTTTAAGCTTTCTTTGATATATACGCGGGAGGCAATTAAATAATTGAATTACAAGTCAGTCTGGAAATAGAGTTTAAACGGAAATCTATGGCTCTTAACTTATTTAGGCCTTATAAATATTTTATATTTTGTTCAGATGATGTAAAACTTATTTTGGCTATATAAATATTTTATATTTTGTTCAGATGATGTAACTTTAATATTTGTGCTGTTCATGCATAAGTCCGTTAGATTTCCAAACTGGCCTGTAGATGTACTATTCCTGTTACTAAGGTTTTTTATTTCTAAACCTGTAGTGGCTCCAAGTAGCTAAAAGTATCTCCAAAAAGTAATGGACACATTTTTGTCTCCAAGAATCTCCCAGTAGTATCGGACATATCTCCAAGGATCCGACAGATTCCGAGTATCGGACAGATTTCCAAGTAGCTGACACATTTTTTTTGGAACAAGATCTCCAAGTTAGACTATATATCCAGATCCAGATCACCAGGAGAATATCACCGCATACAGGAAAGTACCGCAGTAACGCCACAAGGTAGAAACAAAGAAAAAGTACCTAAAGTTTTGTATCCAAGTCAATTGTCAATTTAAATGTGATACAAAATTACTAACATAGCTTATTCATTTAATAGTCAATTCAAATGTGATAATTTGTTGTAACCAGTTCTTTCTATGTCATTGCATGTATTACATTTTCTCACTTTCTTTTATTTGCCTGAACTCGTAACAGATAACTTGAGGTACCAGAGACCGAATCAATTAAACAGGGCATATAAAATCAGATAGTTTTCCAAGTTACTTAACCAAGTTACTTAAAAACTTGGTGTCGTTCGAATTTTTTTTTTGTCGTTATATAGTATATTTCCTTTTAAAGTAGATTTTGGCTCGTGAACCGGTCAAGCTACTCTGATTTTATTTGTCCTGACAATTTATGAGTCCACGCAGTACCAGCAATTTGAGCTAAATCACTTCAAAGTATAATTGACATCATTGAATTGAAACAAGAAAAAACTAATCAAAAGGCGATATGGAATGGTTTTAAAAATCAAGACTTGTGACAATTATCAAGTGGTTTAATCTAAGTAACGGCAATGCTTCACAAACCTGAAAATTCAACGTCTTTTTACTACATCGACTTTCGGTCTTTCGTTTCAAATCAAATAATTTCTCGTTTTTTTTTTACTCTACAAGTTTACCCTTGTTGACCTCAGTAATATGGTGGGAAACCACCAATTTGGCGTCTCTTAAATTGATATTCATTTTTTATTTATATTTTACAAATTATTCATTCAATATTTGGGGTAATAAGTAAATCCCAAAGACATTACAACATAGAGACAAAATGTTTCATTCATAAATCCCATACAATGGCGGACTTTTATTGTTTTAAAACTGTTAGTGAGTGGAAGAGAGAAAGATAGATCTCTTAGGACCGGCTGGCAACGTTGTAAACAGTGTCCATAATATGCTCGCCAGTGGCGTAGAGTTTAAAACTTACCAGTATTGTCAGAGTAGTATGTTAAAAAAATACGTAAATAAGTAGGTTTATTTTTTTAGTAATATAATGATGATTTTTTCATGTAGGTAAATTCAAGTACAAGTAAATTCAAATACAAGAGAATTAGTTTATTGGCATTTACTATATATTTGCCTGGTATGATGTTAACCAAAATTATTTAACATTTTAAATTAACATTAAGTAGGTAGGGGTATGTAAATAAAACACTTTCCTAAAAATATATAATTTTTTAATTAATAATTACAAAAAAACATGGTATGGCAAAAAATATCGTAAAAAACTAAAAATTTTTAAAATAACGTTCTAAATATATTAAATACCTTAATTTTATTAACTAAAATTTCATTTAATTTTTGTATGCTTAGTTATTACTGTTATTCGTGTTATATTACTTACTGCAATGTTTTTTTTTGCAGCAGGTGGTGTTCTAAAAACAGTTGAATCAGAACTAAAAACCCTTAGATTAGATATACAGATATAAAAGGTAATAAATAATTTTTAGAGGTAAACAAAAAATTTATATTTTGTATTTTTACCTGTTGGATAAGTCATCCAAAAATTGAAAGCCCTCACACCGTCTGGGGTTTGCATCTTTTCCGATATATTTAGCACCATTTGCACATACCGAAACATCTTCAGGAAAAAAGTGTTCTGAACACAACTCTGAGTTTTTACGAAGGAGCTGATTTTCAAGGATGCCTACTAGAGAAAACCAAAGTTTTCTTTTCTCAGGATCTTGCGGAAACCTAAATAGAATTTTAAAAAATATGTATAGGTGCCTAATAGGTAAATCATTTTTAAGGTATTCTACATTTTACGTTAAATTTTCTTTGCCACTATTCAATAATTATTTATTGGTATAAGAATAATTTACTAATTTATAAAAGGAATATCACTTTAAAAACTGTTTTAAGACTGTTTTAGACTACACAATTTAAATTGTATATTATCAAACCTGCAGTAAATTGTCTGAAAAATTAGATTGGATAATCATTTTTAAAACAAATTACTATGTGATCCTATACAATTTAAATTCTATAAGAAATTGTATCAAATCTTGTACAAGAAATTGTTTAGTCAAAACAGTCTTAAGACGCGTGCCCTACTCTACTGGTTCAAATGAAAACAACATATCTTAACCTAAAAATACTTACCGATGAAAGGATAAATTTCGATTTAAATCTACCTTATTGAACACTACACATGCATGTACCATAATTCACACAGAAACTGTCAGAAACACAAAATCTGTTAGACCCGATTGGCAACGTTGCGGCTGGTTACGGTAACTACATTTCATTCATAAAAATAGGTACTAGTTGTAAATTCGTAAAATAAGATATTCTGTTTAGATTAATATTGATTTTTAATAAAAAATTTAGCTTATATTAAAACTTTAAAGAATAATTTGATTAAAAACATATTTTTATTTATATAATATAAAATTATAGTTATAGGATCAAATTTCGAAAGTAATTTCCCAAATAATTTTTACAGACTGATAAAACCGGCAAAGACGCAATAAACGAGAATCTGGTGGGAATAATGATTTGCCACATAAAAATGTAAACAATTGGGTCTCTTAGTTGTAATGTCTGGTAAATCCACATTTTTACCTCAGAAGTCAGAGATGAACTACGCCCAATAGCTCTTTGACCATGTCATATATGATGCCCCACACAGTATAATAGTAGTCAATATATTTTTTTAAATTGAATCATTTATGTTTATTATTTTTAATAAACTTTAAACAAATAAATATAATTTTGTTCCCTAGAGGAACTAAGAAGAAACTAAAAGAAAAACATCGGAGAATAGTACTAAATTTACATAATAAATTCAAATAAAAATATCTCCGATTAGTTTCCTTATTTAAAGCTTAAAATAAATATTATGCTGGCTTACCTTGTGAAAATTTGAAGGATTTAAAACTACAGCAATCCTTTCAGTAGCGTTTATGAGTTTCCATGAAGTGTTGTACTCCAAATCTGTCTGCCTTAAGTATACTCTTTGCAAATTCATTAAATTATTAGCGGAATCCATTAAAATAGCTGCTATGGTCCCAACGTGTTCTTTAGGAGCATATTTAATATAATTTTCTATTGTACTAACTGCATAGAACAAGTCTACCACATCTTGGAATATACTTTTGTTTATAGTGTAGTTTCTAAAGTGTTTTGCACTTTCCTCTATGCTCGTATCAACCATTGAAAATTGTTCTAATATTTTTGTCGTATCTGAGATGTAGGAACACATTGAAGTGTTCAAATAAGACCAATCACCAGTTTCTGTGCAAGTATAAGAAGCTTTTTGGTATGTGACATCATAATTTAAATTGAGTGATTCGCAGGGCATTGTAACTGTGAAATTTGCGATAGCTCGGGGCCAGTTGTAAGAACCCTTATTATTTTTTGTTATTGTGATTGGACAGTACTTGGTTTTATCTGATATTACAACAATTGTAATACCTAAAAAAATATTTCAGTTGAAAAAATGCATAATAAATTTCATTGTCTCGTTATTTACCCTTTGAATGATTACCATGCATTGACAAATACTGACAATTCCATATTCCTGTGTGATTTTTTGTCAATTTCGGAACTACTAGAATACTTGAAATCCTACCGGCACTTCCTAACATTTCGTTTTCTATTCTAATATCAGAAAAATGTAACTTAGGATCAAAATCTAGCCAAGACCATTGAATACCGCTATGAAGAGGATCCTCCAAAGAGTCAGAAATACTGGGAGCATTACATTGAACTGTTAGAGAGTCGCCTTCGAAAACAACCTAAAAGATAATCTACTTTAATACACCGGAGTTATACCACCAGATGAGACTGATCACCGATATGTATTTTTATACTTAAAAGTTAACAAAATACACAAGAAAATCAGCAAAAGTCTTTTTAAATATATGATTTACAACAAGGGTTGAGTATATTTTATAATAATAAATATTTTCCAACTTGTTCAAATTGATTACATTTAATGTTATTTACCTGGTCTTCGTCAGGTCTCAATTCAATAAAAGGCAATCCACTGCTACCTGCTGGAGACTTACAATGTATGTCATCACCAATTTTAAGTTTTCTTAAAGGGCGACCTTTAAAGGTTGATGGAGAGGTACATTTGGGATTAGATAGCAATTTTACAGATTGTCTCTGTATCCAGTCATGAAGCCAAAGCAAACTGCAGTCACATACTAAAGGATTACTTGATATATCACTAAAATATAAAAATCAAGGAAAAATAGCATAAGTAATTGCTAGATTTGTAGACTGGAAAGAATTGAAATAGCTTTATTATTAAAGAAAAATAGTCGGACAAAATGCTATTTGCATGTCTCTAGTTATTAGGTTATGAAAACAATGTATTTACGGCTGGACTAAACGCGGTTTGCATGTAATATAGACAAAATGCTTTTTGTTTATCTAATCTTGATGGACTAAATGCATTTTGCATGTCCAAGTGGTTTTCACAATACATTTTAAGCAGGATATAATGCGACTTGTACATCCAAGATTTTATGAAAAGATAGCTATTCAATTCAAAATTGTATCGCCATCTATAGTTAAAAAACTAAAATTTCGGACAAACTGCGTTTTGCAAGTCTGCTCCTCATATAATATACAATTTGTCTAAGTTAAATCTAAATGGAACTTGTTTATTAATGGTTTTGTGAAAAAATTATTCTTGATAAAAAGTTCTGCATGATCCAAAACTTAAAATACAACCATCAGAAATATACGAGGTTTGTCAAAAAAGTTTTTCATATGCCACGTAAGTCTACGTAAGTTGGCGGCATATGAAAAACTTTTGTATTATTATTAGGAAAAAAAATATTCTTCATAAAAAGTCGAGCATTGTCTACAACCAACGGATATCAAATTTTATCAGTCGTATACGAGGTTTGTCAAAAATAAAGGTACTTTACTCTTCAGCAAAAATAATATTTTCGTATACGGCTTAAAAAAAAATTAATATCTGATGATTGCATTTTAAGCTTTGGACCATGCAGAACTTTTGATCAGGAATAATTTTTTTCACGAAACCAATAATAAAAAAGTTTTCCATATGGTTCCAATTTTTTTTTTTTTAATAATAATACTCTCCCTAATTCACCTCCTTACGAGTGAATTTCAACCCCTGAAGCCGACTGAGCTACTTATGTAGGGGAAGGGACGGTGATTATTATTTGCCGTGGCGCTCCGGGGCGACTTAAAGATGATTGATGGCGCATTTGACTTGTGGTGGAGAAAATCCGGAAAACCCCACCCACTAAAGGAGGTCCTTTCGCCACCAATGTTAAATAAAAAATATTAGATTATGACTAAAATTAATTTTTTTCTAATAGTTAAGTCCTTATTTATCTAATAGTGAACTTTTAACTATACCTTACCTTGCAAATTTTTGGGAATTTTTTTTTTTAAAATGTGAGTAGAGGACTAGAACATACCAAAAGATGGTGCTGTGAAGTGGGACTTTGTATAAACCCTACAAAAACAACACTAGTAGCCTTTTCAAGGAAAAGAAAACTTAATCTCAAAACCGTTAAATTAGACGCGATAGATATAGAATGGAAAAATGAAGTCAAATATCTAGGCCTAACCCTGGACAACACACATGAGAAGGAAGTAGTAAATAAGGCCACAAAAGTCATAATGGTATGCAGAACCATTGCGGGGTAAACGATGGGAATGTAACCCAAACATACTGCGATGGATGTATACTGCAAAAGTGAGACCAATCATCACTTACGGGGCTATAGCCTGGAGTAACAGAACTAGTTTAGCTACTACGAGAGCTAATATCTCAAAAGTACAAAGACTAGCCTGTGTTTGCATCATCGGTGCAATGAGAACCTGCCCTACGGCCGCAATGGAGGTGATCTTAAACCTCGCCCCTCTACATTTGATGATAGAGAATGTAGCAAAAAGGACACGATATAGAATGATCAGGAACGGAGTAATCAGACGAAAGTCTACTTGCTTCAAGACTAAAGATACCTGGGACATGCCCCAGGATGAAATGCTAAAGAAGTACAGTTTTGTAAAAAACTTCAAAACCACAGAGCTGGGCTGCAAAAAAGAATGGAGCCAAGAATCCATCGCGCTTGCAACCGAAAGACATGCTATTTAGTGGTATACGCACGGTTCCAAAACCATAGAAGGAACTGGAATAGGAATGTATTGGCCGAGAACCAAGTACTCTGAAAGCTTGGGATAATACCCAAACATCTTTCAGGCGGAAATTCAGAGATTATCATCATGTCCGATAGCCAAGCAGCCATCAAAGCGCTGAGTTCTTACGTAATCAGCTCAAAAATGGTCTGGAGATGCCTAGAACAATTGAATGAGCTAGGCGAGAAAAATAGAGTTACTCTCACTTGGGTCCCGGGATATAACGGGTTACAGGGTAACGAGATTGCAGATAGTCTTGCAAGGAAAGGGGCTCAAACACCCTTTGTAGGACCTGAGCCGTTCTGCGGTATCAGCAGTAACATAATATTAGGAGAGATTAAAAATGAATTGGGCAGTAGAAGAACCGATAATTGGAACAATCTCTTGGGGCTGAGATAGGCTAAGATACTTCTAGGTGAATATAACCAGAAAAGATCGAAAGCCTGCATCTGTTTGAGCAAGAACAGGCTACGTATTGTAACAGGGATCCTTACCGGGCAGCATTTTCGTTAACTGCACCCATTACGTACCGTTCGGCTTTGCGAACGTTGCCTTGTTAACTGAGGACAATATGGATTAAATTTGCACTATACCGTCTGCACTTAACTCATTCTGTGATATTTGCGTTGTAAGTAACTATACCGACTCAACGACAGATTTTTATTGTAGCGTCTACAGTCCGCACTCGATTTATTCGGTATATCGGTATTATTTACATACTATCTACAATAGTAATAACAAACACGTGGTAGGCATAGACTCATTGCCGACAGATCACCAATATTATGAAGTTGATAGTACTACAGTTAGGACAATGTTCAGAGACAAAGTAGCAGTAGAGGTAAGCGAAAGTATTATATTTCTCCGAAAAACGGTGTACATAACATAACCTATAGCAGTGGTCGCCATCCTCTCAATGTGTTGAGCTACTTTGTTAATTTTGGAATAAACAGCGAGCTACCCACACGGAAGCCACGTAACGCAACGTAAATGAAATAATCCACAGTTAATTTATCATTATATGTATTTATTTTACTATTTAACTGGTAATACATAATACATAGGTACTAATAATAAACGAATAACAAAATAACTAATATTACTAGTACGTACTTGTTCATAGCTACATTCCTACCTACCAAACGAAGGTGTTTGAAAAATAAACACAAACTTTTATCCAGCCACAACGGCATGTCACGTAACATTTAAAAATAGTTAATAATAACAATAAAAAAATAACGCTCTATCATGAATATAAACATTGAAAAATAAAAAAGCACGTTCAATGAGAAGGTTGACACTCAGACTCATCGATAATTTTTTTAATGTTTGCAGTATAATTTGATACAGCCATTCGAATACAATTATCCAAATGTTCATCTGTAAGTCGATCGCGATATTTGTTCTTAATAAACTTCATATTGGAAAAAGAAGATTCACACAAATAGGTTAAACTGAATAATGCTTTCACTTTCAAGGCAACACGGCATAGAACTGAATATTTGTCTTTACTTACAATAGGCCAGATACATTTGGTACTTGAGACTAACTATTTTAAGGCTAAATCATTTTGAAACTCAATTACTTCCATTTCTGTTGCAGCGATGTCTTCGCCAAAGATCTGCATAACACAAGTTGCAAACTGTTGGATATCAATTTCCATAAAGGGTGAAACAACAAACTGCGCTACTAAAGCCATTTCGTTGAAATCTTTAAAACGATTTTTTTGAAGTTATTCTTCAGGGTAGAAACTATTTCTACATGATATTTGCTGTCATAGGGTTCTAATGGATTTTAAGATATTTTTTCTGAAAGAATAGGAAAATGCTTGGCATCGCTGTTAATTCGGTTTTGTTCCCAAAACTCCAGCTTTTTGATAAATGCTTTTATATCAGAAATCATTTCCGCTAGTTCTTTGTCTCTCCCCTGAAGCTGCAAATTAAGTTCTTTTAATTTATCTGTAATGTCCACAAGAAAACCAAAATTTCTAAGCCAGATTGAATTTTCTAGTTCCAGAGTCGGTTCATCGCGTTGTTTGAAAAATTGAACTATGCCAGATAGGACATCATTAAAACGTTTCAGCACCCGTCCTCTAATTAACCATCGGACTTCAGAGTGAAGGAGTAGGTCCCCGTATTGACAGTCAACTTCATCGGCCAAGGTTTTGAATAATCTTGTTTGTAACGCTTGAGCTCTAATCTTGTTCACAATTTTTACCACCAGTTTCATAACGTTGTTTAGTTTCAGGAAATTTCCACATAATGCTTGCTGATGGATAATGCAGTGGTAACAGAGAAATTGCGGAAAAGTTTCATCTTTACGACATAACGCCACCAGACCCTTATCACAACCCACCATAGCTGGAGCGCCATCGGTTGTTAAGCCTACCATTTTCGATATTGGAATTTTCTCGGAAGAAATAATATTTTTTAAATGAGAAAACAACTCCTGTCCAGTAGTGTGTCCTTTCAGTGGAATAAACTTCAAAAGATCTTCTTTAATCGTAAAATCATTAAAAACCATCCTGACGAACACGGCTTTTTTTGTGCAATTATCTGGGACACACGATACGATGCTTCAGTTGCAGCCTTATTTTTGTCGACTCTTCTTAAAAATATTGATTGTTGTCCAATTAACTGCTTTTTTAACTGTTTCAGTTTCTCCTTTCTGGCGGCAGAATGTAGTGGGAATGATTTTTCAAAATTAGAATGTACAGTTTTATGATGTCTCTCAATATTTCCTTTTTTAGCAACGGACACCGAAGTATTACATAACAAACACACATTTTTATCTTTAACTTCTGTAAAAAAGTATTGTTCTTCCCATTCCGAATGAAAGTGGTATGTTTTTACCTTCTTACAACTGCTTGCCATAATATTATTTTTTGTTGTTCTCTACTGACCCAACCGCTGGACGTTGATTACGCGTTCAGTTTTAAACTAAGCGCAATGTCGCCGCGCCGTGCGTATTTATCCCGTTCAAAGCAATCCTGATCGTTCTCGAACACTAACGCGCTGGTTCGGCTGGTCGGTTCTAGCCGATTCTAGCTTGATGGCGTCAGCGGCAGATCGCTCACCGCAACGTTGCCGCTGTTTAGGTTTAATATTATAACAATTAGATTTTTTTGTGGAATTTTCGGAAGCTTCTCTGATTTTTGCAGTTTGTATTTTTTAAATTAAAATCGTGAGAGCTACCAGAATTGCCTCCGCGAGCTACCGGTAGCTCGCGATCGACAGGTTGGCGACCACTGCCCTAAACAAATGCGTTGAAATGAACATCCTTCTCGGAGATAATAAATATAAGAAATAATGTATCTCATTAATTTTTATACGTTTCATTTGTTGAAAAATATAAATTAAATTTATTATAGTTTATTGATATTTATGATATTCACTGGTAAGAAAAACATTCATGTTAAGTGCAGAAGGTATAGTCCCAACTTTTATATCTATATCAACCCCAATTAACAAGGCAACGTTCGGCTTCCTTGGTAAAAAAATAATTTTGGTAAGTGCAGACGGTATAGTGCAAAATTAATCTATATCGTCCACAGTTAACAACGCAACGTTCGGGAAGCCGAAAGGTACATAATGGGTGCAGTTAACGAAAATGCTACCGGGCATTGCCGACTAAAAGGACACCTTAGTAAACTGAGAGTAGTAGAGGATAGTGAGTGCAGATTCTGTGAGGAGGAGTACGAAACCTCCATTCACATTCTAACTGAATGTGTAGCACTCCAGAATCCAAGGACACTATACCTAGGAGGATATTAAATAGAAGAGGGAAATTTACCTAACTTAAAGCCACTCCAAATCGAACACTTCCTTGAGAAGATAGGATTGGAAAGGTCGTTATAGGCATTGATATATTTCCTTGGTGCATTAGCGACAGAAGCGGGATCAATAGAACTTTTAGGTCGCAGTGTATTAACACCCCATTCCCAATATAACATACAAGTAATACCCAATTACAGAATAGGAAAATATGACTAACATATTTAGATGACATACATAAAATAGGAAATGTTACAGGTTACAGGTGTACAATGATGGTTTTTGATATCCTGAATATTAATGTGGAATATATCCAATTCATGACTTATCCGATTGTAATTATTACATATATTATGCAACGGTAAGTTCTTGAAGCTTGACGTGAAGCTTTTAAATTAAGCATATGTAATTGACATTCGCAGTTTATTTGATTGCTTATGACCTTATACAGATTAACTAAATAAAAATATTTTCGTCTTATATCGAGACTCGAGAATACATGTTTACTTAATAAAGTTTTTTGGTCTGTTTAAGGTTTATATGGACCTACCTCCTCGCTCATCTCTAATTCTAGAGATGGCTCTACCTGTCGAATCAAATTTAGTACACAATTTATTAAAGGTTTAGGGTTCCATCTATGATACAATATTTCGATAGTTTATGTAGCCGCCAAAAGAATTTTCTAGCACAATAGATTACGCGGGAGATCTCTACTATTTGGAACGAAGAGCTTAACCTTTAATTTTCACCAAAAGGAAGTTTATCAAGTTGAAAAGGGGAAAGAGTATTCCTGAAGGTTAATCATGGTAGAGACATATTCATTGTTTTATCCCTTAGGTACTGAACAATTTATGTCAGATCTAAAATATTAAATTCTATATTAAATAATTTCGAGTTGACGAATCCAAGTATTCTGATAAATAATTGATGTTGGTTTTTGTTAGAATCTGACTTGAACCGAAATGAGTTTACTATGGTAAATAGAAAATTAGTCTGTGGTTGCTATTCGAGGTTAGATTTAAATTTATTCAGTTTCGATATAAGTCCAATATTTGTCCCTATCCCATACAGCATGATCGGTCATTATGTTTGGATTCTATAATTTTATGAAAATGGAGCAATTTTTACTCTTTGATTTGCAGCCTTTCAAGTCGTGACCTTCACCACAAATTGGACAAGATACGAAGTACATCTTTGTGCAGAGTGGTTAAACTCATTGCATTTGAAACACTTAATCATTATATACATAATGAAGCTGTTATTAGCAATGAATAAATTTCCCTTTTTTAGTGCCCTATCATAGACCGACATCTACCTGTACAATAGCTTGGAATATATCAGGATTTTTTTTAGTTGAAAAGATTTTTACAATTTTAATTTCAGAGTTTTCAAAAATAACGCTTGTGTTACATGTAATAAGATAATTATAAAAAATTTCTGTTGAGTAGTTTACAGTCATGCTAACGAGAAGCATTTTTTTAAGAATACCACCGATTTCTCTGATGCTGTATTCACTTAACATTTCCTAATGAACAATAGTCTTCAACTTTTCATTATCTGAGTTTTGCAGGCAATCAAGATTCCTCCATCTTTAACCGTTTTAATTTGTGTTAGCTGCAGGTTGTCTTCACAGGGATTGATATGACACAAAATATTTGCTTATGTTTGAGTATGCGACTGACTGGTGTTCATTGGGTGATTTAGGATGATTGGATGTGACTTATCTTTTAAGGAGATCGGGGTATTTTAGTTGAGAAGTAGTTGCTTCAGATTCGGAAATTTCACCGAATTGAGAGAAGCTGCGATGGGATTAGAACTTATGTGCGGTAAGAACCACAGGTTCCAGATTCGATCCCTGGTTGAAGCACTAGTTTTTATTTAATTCTAAGCTTTTTTTAATTTTCCTTTGGTTTGTTTTAACTCTGGGGATATGGGAGTGTATTTTTCATAATTTTCGTTGGGGGAATTGGGGGATTATTCATTTTCATGAACTGAAAAAAAAACACTTTATTTACATAAAAAGAAAATTTGCTATTTACTGTATATTTATCTTCATAGTACTGAGTAATACACAGTACGTTAACCGACGCATCATGCAAAATAAAGAAGAGATGCTTAATTATATTTTGATGTGAGAGGCATAAAGAGAGTAATTGGTTTGACCACGCCCTTTCAATAACAAGCATGGGATATTGCGGACCACGCTCAACAACGTATTAGTCTATTTCTCTCTATTCAAAAACATTGTGTTTATATACTGTTCTCCTAAAGTTAGGATTGAAAAGTTAACATATTGTATAACTATTTAATATTCACTTATTATACTTACAGCTGCTTGATGTTTTCCAATGGAGCAAAAGTTCCCAATATAATTGCACTGATTTGATTTTGATTTAATTTTAACCTTTCTAAATGTCTCAATTTGTCAAAAGCTAATAAGTCAATGTGTTTAATGTTATTTTGGGAAAGGTCCAGTCTTTTTAAGTTTGGCACTTCATTAAATTGATGTGCTTTTAATTCAGTCAATTGGTTCCTACTTATATCTCTGTAAAAGAAAAGAAATAATTGAATATTTTATTTAAAACGATGCAATTAGGAATTTAACTTTAACTGTAAAGTGCATTAAACCGAAAACAATACGGTTGTATCGCCTAGTGAGCACATAAGCCTAGACTAAATTAAATGTAATGAGGAATAGTGTGAGTTGGAAAAGTGACTCCTGGCAGTGACTGGTCGCTGTAGATTGAATGAATGAGTCTTCATTATTAATATAGGAATAGGAATATATCCTAATATAAAAAACAATACAATAGTAAAAAATAATTAAATGTTTACAATTTAAAGCTTAAAATGTACTGCTAGACATAAATATAAAATATACATGAAATTGTGATTGTATATTGGATGAAGGTTCATGAAGCATCTTCTTTACCTTTTAATATGTTGAGCAATAATAATAATAATAATACTTTCCCTAATTCACCCCTTTACGAGTGAATTTTAACCCCAAAAGCTGAGCTTGTGCGGGGAAAGAGACGGATATTATTATTATTGTTTGCCGTGGCGCTCCGGGGCGACTTAAAGATGATTGATAGTGCCATTTGACTTACAGGTGAGGCAAACCCGGAAAACCTCACCCACCATCATCTAAGTGCCAACTTAGATTTTGCGATAGAGTCTAAGGCATTGTGTGCAAATGGCTCCAAATACAGATTTTATGGAACATGAATAATGCGCATACACACAGCATCCAGGACCGGTCAGATGTGTCTAAAATGCATATGTCGCAATCTTATAATGATATTCGTCTTTTCATGTTAGTCACATCGTGAAGCGTTGTCATATTGTGTAAAATCATGAAGCTACGTAATATGCCAGGGCGTTTCGTGAAGATACCACATTCTTTCGACGTATAATCAATCCGTAACATTATCTACGTAATTTTAAAGATTGGCAATTTGTGAAGTAACGATTTATAGTCGTCAGATTGTGCAACGTCTTTAATTTGCCTGGTTTTACTGAAGCTGATAGTACCTAATTTTGTTATAATTTAAGGTTATTTATTATATAAATACTGAAAATGAGTTGTTTAATGCATACTGCAGCAAATATATGAATGAATAAATCTTTATAATTATAGGAATATATCCTAATATAAAAAACAATACAATAGTAAAAAATAATTAAATATTTACAATTTAAAGCTTAAAATTTAATGCTAAAGTAAAACATAAATATAAAATATACATGAAACATTAATATAAAATATAGGTACATATTACATATTAGCTTTAGAAAAAAATTATATAATTTTTAACATTAGCCAAGTATTTTTGATCATTTATTTTTATTTTTAATATATTTATCTTAGATTAAAGAGACCAGAGATGTAACACACATACACCGATGTTTTAACCTTCCAATTTCTAAAGAAAGGTTAACGGAGTGGAGGAACTAGGAGAAGACCCGAACTGTGTGACAGGGATGGAATTTGTTTATTACCATCATAATGAACTTTTAGATTTACTAAAAAGGTGTTTAATGGAATATTGTATTATGAAATAAAATTAACCTGATTTTTTAATATCAAAGAGATGCAACGACATTTTATGTAAAGAGAAGACAAAAGTTATTTTATAGAATATTTCATTATCGTTTATTTACTATGGACTATAATAAAATATTGTCAATCAAGCAAGGAATGGTACTCATTTCTACGAGTATTATAATAGCAGCATGTGCGCAGGCAAATCAAACTTGTGAGTGGAACATTATATTTTTTCTACAGCTATTACATAATATTAAAAATTAATCAAAATTAAAAAATGCTCTTTTGTATTATAGTAACCTCAAAAAATAGCTATTGGTGTATAAAGAGCGAAAAGTGATACTTTGCCGCTTGAGACAAAAAGTTGCCGCGTGACGCGTAGCGGAGCGCGGCAATTTGTCGAAAGCGGCATCGAACTTTTCGCTCAAAATGCACACAAGATTTTTCTCCGATCACATTATTTTAAGAAATAGATTTAAAAACTGAAAATTCGTCATAAGTAGTATATAATGTGCCTATATCTAAGTTATTCATGAAAAAAGGAGTTGCTATTCAAAGTCAATGTTAACTTGGATAATAAAAGAAAAACATCAAACTAGGTACAAATAACTTTCAAAATCATTTATTAAAAAGAAATATTATTTTATTATATCTAATTTAAATTAGGCGTGTGACAAAGCTGTCAAGTTTTCCGCTCGGCGATCGACAAAGCTGTCACTTTATGTCAGTTCGCGGAAAACGTCAACTTTGCGGTTGAATTTCGAAGCGCAAAAGCCTACTTTGGATAGTGATCGTAGAAAAAGGTGTATTAAAGCTTCTTTCTTTAGGGATATTAATTAATATAGATGATGTGTCACATACATCTCTAGAAATGCATATTTCTGAAACAGGATAACAGTTTAAAATTTAAACCTAATAAAAGCAATTTGGTCGCTAGGGGTGGGCGATTATCGAAATAAATTATCAATCATTGAAAATAGTCGATTATTTTCGATCAATCGATTATTTTCAAACCATCTATTTTTTTCCTATTTCCTTTAAAATCGATTATTCAATTTTTAAAAATCGAGTATAATCGATTAATTAAAAAACCGATTAACCTATAAATCAGTGTTTCCAAAAAATAAACGAATTATAGAATATTTTAAATAATCGATAATTTTCAAAAAATCTATTTTTTTCGTATTTCCATTGAAATAGATTATTCGATAATCTTTGAAAAATCGAAAATAATGTATTAGTCAAAAATAATCGTTATTTAAAAATCCGATTAACCAATAAATCGATTTAAAAAAAATAACCGAATTATCGATTATATTAAATAACCGGTTATTTTCGATCAATCGAATATTATCAAAAAATCAATTTTTTTCGTATTTCATTTAAAATCGATTATTCGATTATCTTCGAGATATCGAAAATAATCGATTGTTCGAAAATAATCGCTTAATCGAAAGTAATCGATTAATCGAAAATCGGTTAATTAAGAAGCCGATAAAATCGACTTTCCAAAAAAATAACCGAATTATTGATTATTTCTAAATCTATTTATTATTCCGTATTTCTTTTAAAATTGATTATATTATCTTTGAAAAATCAAAAATATTAGATAAATCTAAAATAATCGATTCATTAAAATGCCGATTAACCGATAAATCGATAATTCTAAAAAATAATCGATTATAATCGATCAATCGATTATTTTCATATAATCTATTTTTTAGTATTTCCTTTAAAATAAATTATTCCAATACCTTTGAGAAATCGAAAATAATTGATTAATCGAAAATATTCGATTAATAGAAAATAATCGATTAACTAAAATAGCCGATTAAATGATACATCGATTTTTCTAAAAAAATTGATTATTTTTGATTATTTTCAATAAATATATTTTCTTTTTGTAAGTCTTCGGATTCGGATTTTTTGATCCCGTTATCTATAAGGCCGCATTCTATTGTATTAATAATAAATATCCGACCGGCACAGCGGTGCGGCGTTGAAAGCCGTGCATCGTCTAACGTCGTTACAGTTCGGCAGACTTCAGCACGGTGTTTGTGTGCGTGTAGACTAGCTGCTAACTGCTCATAACTGATTCTATCTCTTTTAGACACAATTTCGGAAAAATTGAATTTGAAAATGAATAATGATCCACAAGAATCCACAACAAAACATGAGACCATCATTGACGCGGTATTTTCAGATATTTAGAGGATATCAAGTCTCAAACTTATGTTTTTTATTTCAGTTACCATAAACCTAGTTTCAATGATAAAAATTCCTGAATAACCTACATATATTGTAAGATAATGAAAATATTTTAAACAATATTAACTTCTATTTATTCAATAAAAGAAAAAAAATTGTTTTCTTATCGATTACCACGCTCAAAAAGTGTAACTTGAATTAATATCAAAGAAAAAACTTGAATTATTATCAAAGAAAAAAAAATACTGCATAAATAAAATAAATAAATAATTCTAATTGCATAAGTTGATAAAAAATGCTATGCAATAGCTTTACCGCGGCAGTGCCCGAGTGCCACACGTATCTTTTATTATCATCTAAATTGTTTGTTATTTCTCTAATAACAGTGTACACATTGCATCCGAAACCCGAATTGGTGTTTATGCAATATATTAATTGGCCTCCTACACTCTGTTTTCATTAGTGGCATCGCTAATTAACTTATACACTTTTTTACTTTCCTATCTGTATACAGATATAAGGAAAGTATAGGAATCATGATTTTTTTCGACCTCGAGTTTTCGACGGATTTTTACGTGTGTGTATGTGTATGTGTGTGTGTGTGTGTGTGTGTGTGTGGGTGTGCGTGTGCGTGTGTGTGTGTGTGTGTGTGTGTGTGTGTGTGTGTGTGTGTGTGAGAGAACTGATTAGATTTTGGGCAGAGTCGGAACATCTGGGGGGTACTTTATAGGTGGTCACTTTTATATTTTATGGAATATATCTGTTATTTACGTTTGGAGAAGAAAATTCTTCAAATAAAAGTTACTTCTAATATAATTATCTATAATTGTTGTTCTATACAAAATTTTCCTAAAATGGTCCGTACTTAAGAAATTTGACAAAATGTAAAAAAAATAATTTTTTATAAAAATTGTTCAAATAAAAGTTGTTTGTAATATAATTCTCTATAATTTTTATGCCATACATAATTTCTCTAAAATGGACCGTATTCGAGATATTTGAGAAAATGTGTAAATTTCGAATTTTGAAGAAAACTCAAAAACGGATAAAGAAAAAAACATTAAATTTTAAACTTAAGGTTAATTTCGGCCTGACGTGAAACGATTAGATTTTGGACAAAGTCGGAACATCTGGGGGAGTACTTTATGGGAGGCCGTTTTTATATTTTATGGAATATATCTGTTATTTGGGTTTGGAGAAGAAAATTGTTCAAATAAAAGTTACTTCTAATATTATTATCTATAATTTTTGCTTTTTGTCAAAATTTCCTGAAATGGCCCGTATTCGAG